TGGGCCTTCCAGTGAGTCTTCTGGGGGTTGCAGCGGTTGAGGTAGGGATTGTTCTGGTTTGGGGTGATGCGACAATGGAAATGGTAGTTTCCTAACTTAATCCCTCTAAACTTCCACAAGCTCCCAAAAGGCCCATAATCTTGACAAGCATTTTTCTACAAGAGGTGGAGAATTCGCTTGCGGCGCAGCCCACTTTACGGAGAGGGGTGGTTTGTGATTGAGGCTTTGGGTTGACAGTAGGGTTTACAGCTTCGGTTCAGGTGTTAGAGGTTGAAGGCCTACACTGTAGGGTTTTTAAGGTTTTGGGGTTTGACGTGTCTTGCCCTAGGCACCAGCACATTCCACAGAATTGCAGTCAATTCAGTCACATGGGGTAACTATCTCGGACTGGTAGTTTCAGAATTAAGGATTCGGATTCCAAGGTCCGCTGGGGTTGCAGCTGTTGCTCATGACACGTGGAGGTTCATGGGCGCTCGCATGCATGGTCATAATCGTTTCCGCCTAATATTAAAGGGCTCCCTCCGCTCCCTGGTGTGAATGCTCGGAACACTATTTGACATTATATTGGGGGGATATTTATCGTACGACCTTGACATTACGGGGTAATTGAAGTCTGATTAAAATCGTACAAAATTCGATTAAATGCAATAAGGGACTATTCAGAATTAGGGACTTATTAGGGACTATTTCAAATTAGGGCCTTGTTATTAGTGACTGTTTGAAATTAGGGCAGGGGCTATTTCAAATTGGGGCCTTATTAGGGACTATTCCACATTAGGAGCTTACTAGGGACCATTCTAAAATAGGACCTTATTAGGGACTTGTTCAAATTAGGGCCATTGTAGGGACTATCTTAAACTAGGGCCTTGTTAGGGGGACTAAATTAGGGCCTTACTAGGGAGTATTTCAAATTAATGATTTTTAATGAGGGCCTTGCTAGGGACTATTCCAAATTAGGGCCTTATTAGTGACTATTTTAAATTAGGGCCTTATTAGGGACTATTCCAACTTAGGGCCGTGTACGGGTTGTTTCAAATCAGGGCCTTATTGGGGACTATTCCAAATTAGGAGCTTACTAGGGACAATTTTGAATTAGGACCTTATTAGGGACTTTTTCAAATTAGGGCCTTATTAGGGAGTATTCCAAATTCGGGCCTTGGAATCTGTTTCTGGAATTCTTCCATATCTTCTGTATAAACACCATTTAAAAAACAATCAAAACCCAGGAAATCAAGGAGATCCCTAATCCTTCAGAGTCGCGCTCAACTCCCTTTAATTCAGAGGATCCCAGCCGCAATGAACTGTAGTCTTGGCCCTTTTAAGAAAATTGTCTTTGAGGTAGATTTCAGAATTTGGAACTTTGGCGAACCCGTATTTAATGTTAGGGGGGTTCAATATTGGGGAAGCGATTACCACAAATCTGGTTCTACTTGCCATTAGGCTGTTTCTAGCTTGGCAGTACTGAGATAAAGCTACCGAGAAAGCTTGCGGCAGTCCGCGCTCAGAGTCTGCGCAGTAGACCGCGCCAACACTACACCACATATAGACACCGTGGCATCTGCAATGATCTCTTCACGTGTTTTGTAGCATGCCATGGGGATTTCTGATGGCTTTCCCTGCAACCAAAAGAACATTCCCAAAGGAACGAGTGGCAATAACAATGGCTTTGTAGGCCCGCCGCCTTGGAGCTGGTCAGCGATCAAAGGTTTTCATTTCGTAGCAGCCTTTGTGTTACCCTGAACTGCTACTGGGCTAATTGAGATACTTTTAGCCACTGTTCAGATATCCATCTTGATGGCACAGGCCTATTGTGATGAAGCTTAAATATACTTGGAGGTTCAGAAACAAAAGGGCTAGGCCGCCAGGCCGTGCTCAGAACTGTATTCGGGCTCATGCAGTCAGACCTATACCTACCCACCAGCCACAAAACTTCAAGCAAAAACATGTCCAACTTCTCAACACTAAGTTTCAGTGCTCCCCACAGGCTGATTGTTGTACGTGATTGTCCGTGTTGAAGTTCAGACAGGGATTCTGAAGGGACATTTACTGATAGGGTGTGCAGTTTAGTTGGCAGAAGAAGTTCAGCCACTGGGAGGAAGATAAAAGTCAGCTTTTCTCCTCAGTGGTGTGTTGCCTTTACTAGCCCATAGGAAAATATTTATGTACATATATATATATACACAAGTCGACTTCACAGTTGGGTTTGGAGAGCCTGAGTATGCGAATGCTTGGCAGCCAATCACTGACGAAATTAGTAGGTTGCAGCTCAGGACCTGAAACTAACTTACCAAAATGCGATTTTCAAACACTATCGATTCACCTTCTGGTAGCTTCATTTAGTTCCTGCACAGCAATACTAGGGGCGGACAGGGCGGGTTCCTAATTTGTATCAGAATGTTCCGTTTGAAGCAGCGCTACCTTTGCGCATCACCTATGAAAGATGTTTTGTTGTATCTCGGATAAACTCAAGGTTGTGGCGATGCTTAGGATCTTGAAGACATAGCCTAGTTCTGCAGGTCTACTCGTCAGATGTCTTCAACCCTAAGACCTGTAAACCATGGTGGTGTTGCTCTTCTTCTTGGTGCTAGCAAGGCCAGGACTGTTGGTGCTTAGGTAGGCTTGCTTAAGTTTTAGGATGATTCGCCATGCGGCTTTGGGTTGGCTGAGGGGACTTCGTTTGGAACCTTGATTGCCTACAGCCTTGAAAGTTCCAGCTCCATACCTTGAGTACGCATTCGCAGGAGCGTCATCTGGCAGCTATCAGAAGAGCTGAGCGTGCCTTTGTTGCATCACATTCCTGTGTTTGAAGAACATTGCCCAGCTTCCGCACAGTTTGCCAGTATGTGGAGGGCCAGGGAAACTTGGTAAGTAGCCTCGTAGTGGATGGATGCAGTTCGCATTACTTGCAGCAGCCAAGTCTGGCTGATCAGCCCTAGAACCCAGGACCTGCGAATCGCTTTTTTTAACGGTCATAGGAGAAATATGAAGGAAGCTCGCAGCATAGGGTTTTTTTATTGGAAGACGGTAACAGTCTCACCGAAAACGATAAAGTCAAGATACGCACCGGAACTTGGAGAACGATACCCCGCCCAGGATTTTTTCAACGACCAGTAGCCCAGACCCAAGAAATCTACATCATGTAGTCTCCACTTCGGTCATCATGATCATAATCATTGTCATCATTGCCATCGCTATCATGCTCGTTATCATGGTTTGAATCATCACCATCTCTATCCGTATAAGTCTTCATTATCATTGCTACCATCACCATCATCATCGTCATAATTGTGTGACCCGGAGGACAGACAGCTAGTCCCGTGTTGATCGACAATACAAGCCCACAAAGACAGCGGAGTGCTTGCCGCGTGCAATGCTGTACTCTTGGCCCCATTGGACCTCAGCCGCCCCAATCCCACAGACCCTTAAATCGGAACAGTGAAGCCCTTGGTCTTAAACCGAAGCCCATGCAAAGCAGAGGTACTCCCACAACAGCTGGCGAAGGAGAATCTGAGCTGCAGCTCAGGTTTGCTAGTAGGCGCATGTTGTACTTTGTTTGGAGCCTATTTTGAGAGAAATGAGCAATCGAAAGGGCACCCGAAATTTCCTTGAGCCCAAAGTTGCCAAACCCTGTGGCTAAAGCTGCACTTAGAAAGCCTGCGAACATGATTTGGGGTCTCGATTGTGAATCGTCTGCTTGACTTTCACAGTCCTCTTCCCCACCATGATCATTCACACGCATGGTTTGGTATAAGCTTTTCGACGGCTGTGGACATTCAGCGTCAGGAGTAGCTTGGCGTGGCAATTGGGTTGGGCATTTTGGCCCCGAATTCTTCAGGCTCCTGCTTTGTGCAAGGCCTCAGACAACCCTTTGCTGCAACCCTTGAAGCCTTAGACTTGAAAAACAGAGCTGCGCACCTTGGTTGTAAACCGAGGTCGCAGCGGTTTTGTTCAAGTTTCGTTCCGGGTACAGGTGTCGGGGTCTTCGGAGTCAGCATTGGGTGCGCAGCTTGTTTTTAGCCATGTGCGCAATCGTGGTCTTGCGCAGACTTGCCGATCCGTACTATCTTGCGAAAAAAATGACGCGAACCCTAGGCACGCATTAGCCCTAGGAACTAAGCAATGTACCCTCAATTTCCCTCCACAGAAGGGTTGTTAACCTGGTCCCAGAACACAACCTCGAATCCTGAAATTTATCCAACATCTCATCCGCAGCCGTGGCCTTGGACACTAGCCACTTCAAAAACTCACTGCACTGAGCCTACAAAACTCCTGAGCAAATTACTCCTTCTACAACATGAGGTCATAGTAAACTCCAGACTCCATGCTTGTTATCCTAGCTATTTTGATCCGGAAATGAGGGCTCTCATCGTCTACCTCGGGGACACGGCAAAGAACAAGACAGGCATGCTGCTCCTGCTTTCTGGAGTCTCTACATGTGGTTGATGGCATGTCGTAGGTCCAGGCCAAAGGTAATCAAAAGGACTTGCATGGTGCCATGTGCTTCATGATTTTTCGTTGGTTTTTGTTTAGGCTTGATTTTGGTGGCGTGCATTCGATGTAGCGACCAGAGCCATGCCACGGCAGCAGGGGCTTGCATCTAGCCCGCGCACCCACACTGTTTGATATAGAAGTAGGTGCAATCAGGGTTTCCAAGCTTCTCTTCAAATAAACCTTCCAACAGGATATGCGAACAAGGTGAAGCAAGTGTCAGCCACCGGTTGGCAGCGTGTACCCTGCGCAATGACGAACCGCGTATTCTCTACTGCTTTATCTGTTTGTAGCTGATGGCTAAGATTGACTAAGAATGTTCTGTGTTTCAAGTTGCGTTGAAACTCTGGTAATTGCTAGAATGTTGCACTCACATGGAGATTTATGGGGTACCCATAGGACTGAGATGCAGACTCTAAATTTGTTGGCACAAAGCCACCAGACCTGGATCCACAAGGACTCGGGCCTTTGAAGCGTGTGCTGGTAGGCATTTGGATGTCTAACTCCAAGACATGACTGAAGATTTGTGGCACAAAGGAAGCGCAGGAGAAGGCTGCACTTGGCTGCCACGATATGTAGCCAGCCCAGTTGCAGTCACCACAGCTGAAATAGGGACTAATGTGGTGGACAGGCAGGGGGTAGACGGTATGCTCGCTGCTGCAGTACGCCGTATCACCCCTACACTCCTCAGCACCACCCTGTTCAAGGTCAATGTTACAAGTTACACAGCTTATATCAACCCAGCATGACGCCCCAAACCTGGAACTCTGATTTAGCCTCCAGAACAGGATTCAACATCCTCGGCCCGCAGATCCTAAGCCCCAACCCCACGCCCAAAACGCAAATGTCAAGAGCTGTACACTGGCCAGCCCCAAGCAGGCAAGTACTACAGCAAAGTGCAACATTTCCAGGCCAAACCGCATCAGATTTGGATTGTGGTAGTCCTGTAGGGTTCAAGATTCAGGGACAGTCGAGGGCTTTTTGAGTTCAGATTTTCGGAGGTTTAGATTGACGGGCTTTAGTCCCGAGCTGAAAGATGCCCATGGCAACTGCTGGCGGTTATAGGAGGTTTGGTGTTTGGGCTAGGCTTGGGGTGCTTGGGACCCTGGGATTCAGGTTTTAGGTGCCACGCTCTCTGAAGCGATCGTCCGGGGTTCTTGGATTTATGGTTTGGGCTTTGGACTCAGGATGACTCAGGGTCTGAGGCATTGGATTTAGGGCATCAGGGCATCTCGATCTACGCAGTCATGTTTCCTCTGAAGTGAATTTCCAGAAGAACGGTGGTCTATGACGACCCTAGGCTGCCTGAGCTTTAAGCTAACTCCCCCGAGCAGGCAAACCACGCGGAATTGCTCTATGGCACGGACAGCTCTTCTGTGGTGGCTGGAGCACTTCTACAGCAATCAAACCTTGCGCTTCAGTGTTTTCTACAAAAAGTCCACGTTAGATCTCCTCCTGCTGCGACTTTTTAAAGTGTTGGGTTGTCGATTCTGGCAACGTGCTTAGCTCCACTCCTCTGCCCCAGGTTGTAAGACTTGCAGCTTTCGAGTTTTCGGTTCAAGCTCAACCCACGTAGAAGACAAAATTGCAGAGCAAATGGCATGCTGTAGGTCATCAACAGGGGTCTAGCGAACCTGAAGTCCAGAGCCCCATGAATTTAGGGTTACAGCTGACGGCGTGGTCCAATGTCCACAAGAAACAAAGAGCAATGTAAAGCGTGGAACATCTTGCTGGATTAAAGTCTGTTGCGTCATCAGCACCCCTTGGAGCATGAGCTCCGAAAGCCAAGCAAACATCTAAATCCAGGGCGACTGGCATAAACCTTCTCTACGAAAAAAGCCTTCCTGAAGCGTCATTGTCATTATTTCTAGACGTTGGTGTGAGCAGGTTCTGGAGCAATCTTCAATCAGTAGGAGTGTTCCGTCCATAGAGGGCCCTTAGGTTATATAGCTATAGTTGCCTAATTTCAGTTTGTCCGCGAGCCAAGAAGTACTAGGATGAACACGTGCGGTGCCATCCTCAAGGAGAAAACCCTGTGAACACAGCCTTCAGAGTGAGGTGCCTGTACCTCGAACTACCGACGCCTGCAGTCTGACCGAGATGATGAAAGTCCACGTCAATTTCCAGGACAAAAGGGCTTAAGATGATATGTTTTTCTGCATAGACTCAACACATCAGGAAAGTAAGGTTAGGTGATGAATCATCAAAGTTCAGGTTGCGAATTTATGATAACGGTAAATGTGGATTAGGAGGTGCTTTCGGGATTATATGGGGCGGAGCCGTGGTCTAGAGTTTAGAGTCTGTGTTGGGAAGTACCTGCTGAGGGTCTTTGTCATTGGGACGGAAGGCTGTAGATCATGGTGGTGGATGTGAGTTTCTTTTGCGCCCGACATATTCCATGATTTGTAACCCTGAACCCTAAGCGCTGATCTAGACTTGCAAGCCCTAGATCTTAATCTCAATCCTACGCCCTAAACTGCCTGGCAAAACAGCATTGATGGTGCATACACACGCATGTCTCAGCACTGAGAGAATTAGATTCAAAACAGCCTGCCACAGCCTATCATTCAATCACGAGTCCAGCTCCCCAAAAGCCTAATCCGGACACGCGCGGAGAGTCTCCTGATTTATGTCTCCGATGTACCTTCGAAGGCATTCACACCTTTCGCTTCAGGGCCACCAAGATAAGACCCACGACCTTGAGAACCTTGCCATGTGTGCAAGGCGTTGGATGCCATCCTGATCCAGCTATACGGCTCCAAGGACATTGATCACCACAGAAATGCTCATCACTATCATCATCGCTCTAGTTATCATCACCATTGTTGTCCGTATCATTAGCATCATTTGTTGTCATCGCCTTGATTCAGTTGGTAGTCGTGGTCCTCATCGTAGCATAAAGAATAGTAACGATGACAATGCAATTAAACCAGCCAGAAGGCTTGCAATGGTACTGCCAGAATATTGTTTGAGGGTTTAGGAGGTGTGGGCGTCGGGCTTTTTGTTGGTCACAAGTGCCATTGAGGCGCGTTCCTGTGAGCTAAGCGATCTACTTCCCTCAGATGCATTCGAAATCTTCATTAATCCTGACCACAAAATGGTATCAGAAATCCCGATCCAGACCCTGAAGCCCAACGCCAGCGCAGAGGGAGCGCAGTTCACGAGCTTGGATCAGTGCTTCTTTTCTCAGTGGTCTAGGATTTGCGGTTTACAGGGGGTTTCCAAACTTAGGTGTTGCTTGTTGGTGTTCAGGGCGACATTGTCACGTCAGGGCAGCTTTCAGCGCAAATTATTTGTTCAATACTCTGCTACATGCGTACATTGCATCCAAACCGGACGAAGAAGACGTCTTCCAACCGCATCCATTCCTTAGAGCATCCATGCCCAAACCATGATACAGTCCAACCCTGCATCCAATGGGTCCAGGAAGGTTGTTCAAGCACAGTTGAGGCCACGAAACGCGACCTTGCGAAACCTACAGTTCCTCCAATCAATTCAACTTGTAGTCTTCTGTTTTGTACGCAAGTGTTTATTCTGTTGACTGCTGAGTGAGGACGCAAGCCCAGGGCCCCTCAACAAAATGTGTGGATGCAGGGACGACTGCCTCAAGAGTGCGTGAAGCCCGTCCAAATGCTCAGTTTCCTAATACGCATGCCATCACTTACTGCGATATTTAAGCTTGATCCGCCTGTGAAACCTTGCATGTGCCGGAACTGCTAGTGATTGAAACACCCCACCCGATGCATAGGAGCCTGCAAGAGCTGGAACGAGGCTGTTTTGGGCCCATCGCCTTGACAGCTGCTTTGAGAGGTCACAACCCAATAGTGTCAAACCAGACGAGCTTCCCAGCGCGCATTTGAGTTTTGGCTTGCTTCTGCACTTCCACAAGAATGTGCGATCCCAAGAGCATTCTGGCCTCATCAAAAAACCTTTCCCGGGTTTTTGACAGCCAATACAACTGTAATTGGCACTCCCCAGAGCGACTGGGGGGTCCAGAATACTTTTCTGAAAGCTTTGCTGTATTGCACCCCCTCGCCCCCTCGCACTAATCAGGATTCAACATGAGAGAAAACAGACAATTCCTGGACCTTCAAGCCTTCAGCAAGAACCTGGAGGTTCATGGGTAGCCATAAGTACGTAGAGTTGTCAAACGGGCAAGCCCCGAGTCAGAAGTCGCTAGACTGCAAAAGCTTCGGCCCCCAGCAGCATCTAAATGCCTGAATGCCTCAGCCCACATCCCCTTAAACTTCCGGAAATCCTAGAAGTCCTTCGCCGGCAGGATTTCCTGACGGACCACCTGGGCTTCATTGCAACGGAGGCTGCCAATCCAGTACTGGCAGAGGCGCTTTCGTTTGCATTGCTTCAGGGTTGAGGTGTTGGTGATTTAGGGCACAGGGTTGGGATTTGTTGGGGTTTCGAGCTCAGTGATTTCGGTTTGGGGATTTGTAATTTGTATTCAGGATTTGGGGTGGTATGGAAGTTTGGTATGGATGACGCCATTTGGGCACTACAAGCTGAACTGAACCTCCAGCCTGAAAACAACAAACACAATAGATAGAGCTGCTCATTTTTCATCTCTTTAAATGAAGCATATGGTTTCGTCACAGCTATTTTATCATCCATGGTCAGTAGCATTATCATCTAATTTCCTTTCGTGCCTCAGGGCTAATGCTGAGATCTTGAGCTGAGGTTTTTATGATCGCGTGGTCAGCGTAAATATATTGAGTTCCCAGGAGTGTACATATAGGTAAGCCCAACACCCCCAAGCTTTAGGAAGGATGTAGGGCATTCAACTGGCATTCAGCCACAGCCTCTTGGAGTTGGGGCTGGGGGGTTTAGGTTCCCATGTCGTTTGAATTGCGAAACGTTACGCCCTGGCGGTGTGTATTTCAGAACATTAAGCCCTTCCTATCACCATGAGCAGCCAGATCATGTACACTAAGTGCCATGAATTGGGACTGCTTCTATTCCTTAGACACCTTGAGCCCTCGGCTTTACAGCCGAACTTCTGTAAGTAACCCGGAATGCGCCGGATGACATTCCCAAAGTCTTTAGCCCCAGATGCCAACAGTGTGGCCGAGGCGTATCTCGCATTCAAACAAGGCTGGGACAGTTTCCGGGGCACAGATGAACTCAGAGCCGTGGCCCACAGGTTTTGTAGAGAATTTTCCATGGGCGGGATTGAGAATTTGAGGCTCTTGTAGCCTTTTTTCAATGACTCGATCGACAGCGAATCACAGCAGGAGTATGCAAACGTGCGTTTTGGAAACTGACCGTGGGTAGTGCAGAGCATCGCTACAGGTGAGTCTGCTAGTTGTATGGGAGGTTTGTGGCTTATTGGAAATTGAACTTCCCACCGTTACTGGACGGCTAGTGTGGGGTTGACAGCTTGTGGTTCCCGATTCCAGACCCTCCGCGGATCCTGGCAAGTTGAAGATACTGTATACAGATTCACGAGCTCCTTGCCCGATATCAAACCCCTGTCAGAACAGCGCAATTTCTGGACAAGGGCGTTCGTATACTTTTCCGCGACACCCCGCTTATACAGTCATGCTTGCAGAGTCTCATTGTACAATGGAAATTCGGTTTCATTAGTACCGACGTCCAGAACCCCTCGGCCTAGGGCCGCAACCATTACGTGGCATGAAAATCAGAATCCAGGGCAAAGCCGTATCAAAGGGTTGCCCACCATGCCCTGAGCCCCAAAATGTCCTTGACCTTTTTGGTACCAGGGGGGCAGTGCCACTTGCCTTCGTATGTCCAAACAAGATTCAACATGACCCCCACTCAAATCTATATATTAACTAAAGGCACGAAATCCCACTTCCACCTGATCCTTACGTCCAGTATTCTTAGCCCCCTACAGAGCCCACCACTTGCTGCTCTCAGATCCTCAGCCCAGCGTTTAGGTTGTAGGGATGCAAATCCCAAAGCGGTCCTCCGTCCTCCCCTGTCCCTGAATGCCATTCCTTTGTTTCTGGGCGGTTCGCCCTCTGAAAGCAAGCGGGGCTGTCGCCAGGTATGGGTCAAAGATACAGGCCCCAAATCTAAATCCTGAATCTTGAGCAAAAGCCTGTAACACAGGACCCTCAAACCTCCAAGCCCTCAGGCCCTCAAACAGAGACGCTCAGACATTGGAGCCCAGGAATGCAAGACCTGCAGATTGCGTACATCTACTCAAACCCTAATGCCGTTGGATCAAAGGAGCCTTGGCTTCAAGGGTTTGCAGGCTTGGGCCCAGGGTTAGGAGTTCTCTCATTTTTGTTGGGCATCCTGCTTTGAGAAGTGTGTTGGAAGGGGAGCCTTTTGCCAGGTAGAAACCACAAGCCCGATGGCCGTGAGCTCCACAAACGGACACATTGAACTAGCGATAATGTTGCTCTGAAGCGGATTCCCCGCTCCCGAATTTGGCAAAGGTGGCAAGGTTCTTACTTGCCTTGCAAGCATTGTACTGACGCTTATGATCAAGGGCTTAATGAGTCCGTGACCAAAACTTTGGCAGGGCTTCATTTTGTGACTCTGGCCTCTGGCGCCCTTGCTCAACGTGCCTCTGAAAAGGTTTGGAAGTGTGTGGCGCTTATTGAAACCGTGCTGACCTGAATGTAGGCTCTACAAGTCGCCTCCCAAGATGCTGCTTGGCCGAGCGTGTCTAAGCCTGGCTTCTCACATCATCCGGACACGGCCGTAGTTCCCCCCTGCATGAAGTGATGTCCACATTCAGCCATTAAGCCCTATGCCCGATTAAAGCTGAGGACAACTTGGACTATGCAGAAGGGCCCGAGAGCGACTGGACAGCCATTTTGGTGTTGATCCAAACCTCGGTGATGCAAGGGGTGTAGAGGAAACATGAGGGGGAAACCCTCCACCCTTCAGACACCCCTTCAGACACAAGGATCCCAGCCTTTCCTTCCAGGACACAAGTTGTGCAGAGTATGTCATTCATAGGCTGCACATGGGTTAATGATGACCCAGACAAGGCTGGACAGCAGCTTCTTCATCAGATTGGGATGGCCCGCTTTCAAATTATCCAACTATTTATACATGACTAAACTTCCCAGTCGTGGCATGACTCTCCGTCTATACACACATGACAAACCTGAATCGTGGAATTCTAGACCCCTAAACCCTTCAACACTCAATCCATTTGAACTTGCGAATGAGCCCGTATGTGATCTCAACCCTAACCTACGGAGGCCCTTCAGCGGCTGCGGGTTCAGAATTCAGGGGTTGGGGTTTTGGTGTTCAACGTGTAGATTTCGGGACCCGTACCAAAGCCGTAGTCCCAACCTGTCCGCGCGCATGACTCTGAGGCTACCATACAGCCCACCGACAGTACCATCCCACCTACAGATCAATCCTCTACGCTCGCGCTTTGGCCGCGGAAGCAGTCGGCTTTGAGCGTAGAGTTGATGGATCTCAGGATCCAGGGGATCTTGGAGAAAACCAGAGTTTCGGTTTTGCGATGTTGAGAACCCTGAAAGAGCTGTTTTCTGAACTGCAGCGACACCTTCTTGAAGGCAGACTTGTCCAGAGAGATTAGGATCTTGAAGCGAAGTTCTACTATAGTTGTTCTACTGCCATGCTAGTGAGTCCTGTAGCCGCGCGCCACACAAGATACCTTAACTGGCAGCTCTGTCTTCAGGGCAGCAGCTTCCTCGGGTATGACTACTGACAAGTGTTCCGCCCCTCCGCCCCACCCCTCAGGAGGCCCGCAGAGTCAAGAGTTACGGTGTGCTCATATGTGCCCTCTTCAAAAAAGGGCCATTTGGGCAAAGATCATATTTCGCTAGAAGGACCGTGTTTGCTGGTATAATGTGCGTCTTATAATATACGGATTGCACGGGGGACAGTGGGAGTTCAGGCTCTTCTGTTGAGAAAACTCAGAAATGAAGCCTGACGGAAGTGTTGCAGTTTCGCGAAGTGGGGGGTACATTAGTATCTAATCTACTATAGCATATAATGATATATTATAGTATACTCTAGTATATCATAGGGGTGTTTTTTTGCCTGCTAGTGCTTCTGGAGACGCTGGAAGCCACGGAATAATGAACAAGAAGCTTGTTCTGCCAAGCCATGCTCTTAGCTGTAACATGCGCTTTAATCAAGTTACTTGCGCAGTTCGGTGGCTTTTTACAGCAGATGCAGGCTGCTATGGTGGCGGTCTCCACCAGCATTTCAAGTAGAACGGGATTCCAATTCGAGCATGTCATGCAGCAAGGATCCTGCGAACCCTAAGCCCCACGTGCTTATGGCTAAAACTTTGCAGCCATGCCGGCAAAGCTGCAAGGGTAATGACATCAACTCTATCCATGTCAAGCCCGTCAGGACAGCGCAGAACTGTCCTTTGCATCTAACTGTAGTATTCCTCAGGGTAAGTACCTCTTGACTTCAATTTGCAGCCAAGCAAAGACGGGACTTAGCAGGGCAAGTTTTCCGCACAAGCTGTTCCTGACATTCAGCCCCGGGGGCTCCAAATCTGTGACACCATGATGCTGGCCAAGGAAACTACTACGACATCTTTATATTTGACCTGGACGGAAATTTGATCTACTCAGCCACTTTGGCACGTTCTCCCTGCTGATGTGTTAGGTTTGGAATCTCCACCCTGTAATTTCTAGGAGCTCGGCCTGACTAGGAGCTACCACCAACCAACTGCACGCTTGGGTTTATGGCCGGGAACTTTTGGTGCAAGTTGGGTCTAGGGATTATATGCGTTCTGACCGTTTGAGGCGTTTCTGGTTCAAAGTGGACTCTGCCAGTTTATGGCGCAGGGTCGTGTGTACCTCTTGCCATGATGTAGGTAGGCATGGTGCGAATGCAACGGATACGCTTGAGAATGGGATTTGCTTGGTTCAAATCAGAGACTGAGGCTCTTAAACCTCAGCTGTAGCCCCTAGCCTTGGCCCTAGGCCCCATGTGCCGACCCAAGGAGTCATAGGGCGCCGTCTCAACATCAGATGTTCTTCTACGTCTACGGGTACAGACAACTGGGAACATTTTTCTTCAAGAGCACTAACCTAGGTCTCTGGAAGCAAGGCCCGAGTCATTGGGTAGATGTTTCGTGAAATGCCACGAAACTTATATTTCAACAGGTGGGTATACCCGGCACCTGCAGCTAGACATTTTGTCCAGGAAGGACCTGAGATGCAGGTCTACAAGGAGCTGGACTACGCCACGAATTTCATGGCGAACGGAACAGGTGAATGGCGCGACTCTGGTCTGGGTGAGGCGAAGTGAGCGCATGGCCGGCTTGTGAACCCTAAGTTCTCGAAGGGCTTCGAGCGTGATATCCCAAACCTCAACCCCGCGCAAACTCCTTGCTTGCTGCACTTCAGACTTGAAGTCAGCTCCGGTCGCCTTTTGGTCTACCGTAGTTTACGAAACTTTTGAGTAGGGCACTAAAGGAGACCAACGAAGTACCGTGTACAAGTACCGTCATTACTGAAACAAGATGTTACCTGTACCCTGGGTTTCTGGGCCGACGAAGTTCTACATGCAAGGCAGGTGTCAAGATGGGTTGAGGTGAGCTCTAACACTTCAAAAAATGAACCGAAAGGCGCAGGCTGATACTGGCATGGGAGAGTCCTGCAGGTCAACCTGAAGCTCTCCAGATTTCGTCTGAAAACATTACGAGCCGTGACCACCCAAAGCAGAAGCCCCGGAGGCCTTTCGGGCGGCTGTCCAGAACCCAGAGCAGATCAACATTATCGACTGGAAGCCCTATGGGCTTGGCACTCAGCTCTTGACAGGACATTCACGTGATTTTCACGCCGCTCCCTATCCGCTCAGATGCCCGTCCTTATTTTTCTCTCGGGGGCAGGTGGCTGGGTGGGTGCTGGGTGGGTGCTGGGTGGGTGCTGGGTGGGTGTGAATATTGTACTTTTGCCCATGCTGGGCGCCCTCTTGCTCTGCATGCGTTGGTCCTGCCACAGAGTTTTTAGTTGAGGTTTCTGGTGTTACAATAGGTTTCGGGTCTGGGGTGTATGGTGGTTTCGGGCTTAGGTAGTCTCTGAAGCTGAACATGCACAGGCCTGAAGTCTCGGAACGGCGTTTCAGCTGTCCAAGCTTAGCCCCCTAGTTTAGACCTCCTACACAAGATGTTCTGAATTTCGCTACCCTTAAGCACTAAATCGGTAGACCAGAAACCCGCAACCCATAAACCTAAGCTAGAGCTGAACCTCAGGCACCCCCTACACCTGACACCCCAACGGAAGCATAAAGGATTTCCGGCCACCGCAGGCCTAGCTATGGAGCCCTTGCGAGTTTCCTGTCCACAGGAATCATGCAGGATCCGCCTGGCTTGCCGGGTTTATAGTTTTGCGTGGAGGGATTTGGGTTTAGGGTCGTTAGAAGCTAGAGTGTTAGTTTAACGTTGAAGGTTTAGGCTTGAAGCGTGAAGCTTGACGGTTTAAGTGTTCAACGATGGGGTCTCATTTCGTGTTTGCAAATACTAGGTGATTGGCGCCCAAACGCGCCTGGAATGTTGAGAAGCTCCACATGATCTTAGGACTGTAAATTGGACGGATAGGATTGTATGCGGGTCTTTTGCAAAGGATTTTAAAGGATCAGGCAGGATTACCATTGAATGAGTTGCAGGGATCTCAGGAATCCAGGCGAACCTGAGAAGAAGGGGTTTATGCTATAGATGTTGTATTCACCTTGGCCTCTGAAATTGGGGTGCCCTCAAAATTGTCCGGTTTTTTCTTTGAGGAGGATACGTGGTACATTGATAGAATAGAAACCTCCACATGTCCCCACTCCCACAGACCCATGTTTGGTTGTTTTCCATTGCATCCCCGTTCGAGTCATGCCCCAAATCTCAACCCTGGGATTGCGCCCCTGCGGTAGGACTGCAAGCGAAAGCTAACAACTACTGAGCGCCTCAGATCCTAAACCCAGAGCCTTGCAAGCCCCTCAGTGTAGGCTTCAATTCCCTCACGACCTTCTGTTGGTCCACTCGATTTTTCCGCCGCAGTCCCTAAGTCTGGTCTCTTTTGGATTGCCGGGTGCCCCGATGGGGTTTTGTTAGGTCTCTGGCCGGCGCAGTCCTTGTAGTCTCGTGGAACGGACGAACTGACCCTGACATTCACAACCCTCAGCCCCCATCCCTTGAATCCCACGTAAAACTTGCTCCGCAAATCTACACAAGCCTCCGGGCCTTAGCAACTAGCATTATATTGAATATGCCCCATGATACATTGGGAGACATATCCAATACTGGACAAATGTTATCGACTTCATCCGACCCCGCCCTAAATGGCAGCTTGTCTACAACATGGTGCGCAACTGGCATTGTTTTAGGCTTGGAAATTATGTATTCCGAGTAGTTATTACTACTTTTATTCTGCCACTGGATTTCGAGGGCTGGCGGTGTGTCTCAACATCAGGGGAAGGGATTCATCTCTCGGCGCCGTTCGCTTTTTCTCTTCTGTTACTCTGAAACCTGCATCGCTTAGAATCCACTTTAGCAGGGCTTGTACGTGCTCCGAAGTACTTCTGACTTAGCTGATAGCCACCAGGGACTGGACCCGAAACGAAAAGCCGGTGGGTGATTGTGGGGAAGCGATAGGGGAGGGGCAACAGGGTCTTCCTGCAGCAAACTTTGGACACCCCTCAGCAGGGCTTAGGCGAATCTTACATAATCCCTAAACCTCTGCGAAGGGAGGCGAGCTGCTGGGCGTCTTCTGCACACAGATGCCTCCGGAGTCTAAGCCAGTCGAAGTCTCGGAGATGGACCGCTTGGGCTTGCTGCCCATGGGCTTTGAAACCAAGGGTTTGGGGTTTGAGCGGAGGGTTTGGGGGTATCAGTTTCTGTCCCCTGGGCTTTCTTGGTGCAGGTTCTGGGGTGGATGATCTAAGGTTTCGACTGTGAGGGTGCCTACAATTCTTCGTACGGCTATCCAGGAGCCATCTAAGGGTTTTGAAGTTGTAGATGCTCCTGAGTCCTAATATACTAACACTCCACGGGAGACTGAATTGGAAGGGGTCACGGTACTTCAGGTTTAAGGGCTTACGGTTTACTTGTCTATGACAGATTCAGGAGGTCAACATTTGAGGGTTACTTGGCTTCAGGTTTACGAGATGAGAGCCAGAGGTTTCGTGGTTAAATGTGTAAGGTGGCAAGGCTACGGCATGAAGATCTGCAGTGCTGCCAGAGGAAGAAGGTTTAATGCCAGCGGCGTTGAACTTGGGCTTGTTTGCGTAGATGATAATAACATGTCTTGGGATTTCGCATGAGCTTCTGAATCATGAATGTACAAATTTGAGATCAAAAATCCGGAGAGGCTGGCTCAAGGCTTGGATCCGAAGTCACTAGCAGGACCAGTGTGGATGGTTATTTTGGGGAAGGGCGCAGACAACAAGGTGGCGGGCATATGGTGGCATAAAGCCGGTCTACTCTTTCCGTCTAGTGTGACAACTGTAATTCAGGAAATTCTCCCAAAGTTGTGGATGGATCTGTTTCCTTTCAAGCTTTTTTCATCCCGACATGGTCTTAGTTCATTTACTTGAGCTCTTTGCGAACAATGGGCACTTTCCACAAGTAGGGCGGGGGTTCAACACCCAGCATGGTAGATGTGGACCCGCATTTCTTCGCCACAGTTCTGGCACATACTCGCCTGGAATCCGTGTCTCTGAACTAAACCTTCAATCCTAAACCCAAAAGGCAACCATAACGAGACTGCTTAGCAGGAGCCCATTCTTTCGACAGCCTCGGACACCATCACAAGAGCTGTCGGCTACTACAAGACAGGCCACTGGGAACTCCGATATTTTCACAAGCAATGCGCGGTGTTCTGCATTTAGAGAATATTGGTTGGTGTGCGCATTGCCGCCGCTCCTGAGTCGAGCGTTCTCATCGCGAGTTGTTTCGAAGTCGTGCTCTCGATTCTTTGGCTCGACGTCGTGCTGCCACAGTTTCGATGTTCCTGGAATTTGGCCATAGATCGTAGCTCTGGTGGGGAGCTTCCACAAGTTAGCTGCATACTCTATCCGCTCTCGCTGGGCTTGGAGTGGTCTTGCCGTGTTTTTGGAGCGGTCTTGGTGTGTTTTTGGACTGCTCAGTTTTGCATCGTTTTGGACATCAGCTTACGGTGGTCTTGGAGCGCGCTTTTAGTGGTCTTGGAAGGTTCTCTTTGGATTTGGAGTGCGTGAGTGATCATAGGAGTTGTTGGCTCTTGGAGTGCCTTTGGTCAGTCTTCTTGGCGTGCTCTTCCAGTGGTCGTGGACCATTTTCCAGTCATCTTCGAGTATTCTGACGTGTTTTTAGTGTGCTCTTCTGTGTTCTTGGAGTGTTATGGGCTCCAACTGGAAAGCTATCTAGGAGTGGCCTTGGAGTGCGCGTTGCTGTTCTTGAGGTGCGTGCGGACCACCGTGTTCTATGCTGGCGGTTGGCATGATTCTACCAGCTTAGAGTACACAAGCAACCCACTACTTATGGAGGCCTCCCCAGGGTTCACGACTGTCCTGAGAGCTTTTGCTTCAAAGTTCAAGGTTCCATTGTTCTGTAAGGGGCAGCGGATCAGTTAAAACCTTGAAGCAAAATGGTTCCAGACTTTGGACCCCTTCACGCCATGAACCATCCGCTTCGAAGCCCCCAGCCTGTGAACTCGAATCCATAAGCCCCAAGCCGCCTAAACTCTACACTCCAATCTGAGGACGTGGGCCCACGTTCCAAGCCATACTCCCTGCACCCCTCCAACAGATATGGAGCCCCGCAACATTGGCTTTACAACAGCTCGTGTCCAAAGGGCCTCAGGCTTGATCCTGTTGGGAGCCCCCGCCCATCTTGTCGCGGGTCTCTGGCAGGTTCTCGAGCTGGGGTCCTACATCTGGAATAGATCAAGCATGCTTGTTACAAGTGTTTGTTGGCTGAACTGTTTACATAACTCCTCCCGAGATTTGGGTCTGAAGTCCGAAGCTCGAAAGCACCAGCCCCGAAAGGTGTTGGCACATGCAACACAGTCTTGACTCCTACGGTGCCCTGGTTTTGTTTGGGCTCAGACAATTGTGTCGCATTTTTGGGTCGCATGTTGGTGGATTCTTTCTTGGGGGTTTCGGGTTTCGGCGGGTTTCACCCTGGCTGACAATTGGTAACTCTGATATTCAAGGTCAGCTGCTGATCAGCACTTGCCATGATATGTGTTGAACACAGGGTTTGGCATGGCAGTACCACTTGTGGCGTGGAAGAGGTGTTGGTTTTTGCGCCGCTCGCAGCGGGTTCGGTTTGGCCTGGGTCTTTGGTGCTTATCCGCTTGCAGGGGACCATGGAGAGTATGGACTTTAGGCTTCCTCATTTTCAGAAACTGGCAGGTAGGGTTAGGATTGGAGCTCAAGGAGTGCTTGGCTTTAACATCCTTGCTTGAAACTCAAAACTCCAGAATCTTGCATGAGTTTTCTGCGTATCAGGTAGAGCAGAAGCCCTCCAAGTATTCATGCGTTCTCCAAGAGTTTTTTGGAGATAGAGGTCTTTGCAGCTTAGGGACGCCTTTGGATCCAGCTTGCTTTCAGGTTGAGAACTTTGGTTGCTTGGTTTACTCCTTATTACTTCCTGCCAGCTCCAAGCCTTAAATCCCAATCCCTGAACCCTCTCAAAACCGTCCAAAGTGAATTCTGAGTGCTAAGCCGCGAGCTCCAAAGCCGCAACCCTGCAACATTGTTTAAGCCTCCAGGTGCTAGCTTTGAAGTTCAGCTCTACTGATCTAAGTGGTGTATGGTGTAGGTCTCAGACTTTCAGAGTTTAAGGCCTTTGGTGTTTTGGTGTTTTAGGGTTTCGGATCTAGGGCTTTGGTGCACTTTAAGAGGGCGTAGCCCTAGGTGAGAGCCGCGTTGACATACTGTATAGATCTGAGGGAGCGGAAGGGTTATGGGTTTCAGTCGCGAGTTGGGATTTCGAGACCCAATTCAATACATCAGGAATAATCTTAGTGCTGCGCTGAGTTTCCTAAAATCATTTCAGACACATCTCATACCTGAAAGGCCCTGGAAGTTACCGGCCTGGGTCATGCTTACGGACTGCTACTTTGGGGTTCGGAGCTTCGCTTTTCTTTCAGATGGAGGGCGGGAACCTGAGCCCCAAACGCTACACACGACAAGGAGTGGGAGATCACCGTGGAGCAGCTCAGCCGCCTTGAATACAAGCGCCTTGCTGTAAAAGATTGAGGGCTGCCAGGTCTAGGCCTGAGTCATAGTTTGAGGACTCCCCCAAAAGAGTCCAAGCAAAATGATCCACTGACTCATTTCGAGGCTTCATGTTTGATTGTTTGGTGCTTGGGCTTGATGGTCAGCTTGTTGTGTTTTTTGTGCTTGTGCGCTGCTCCCTCCTGATACTTGAAATCGTCATCCATCCTAATGTCAAGAGAATTCGGTTCATGCTCACGAGCTCTAGTTGATTCCGCAGATAAATCCACAACAGATCCAGATGCATAAGCAGAATGTCGTCCATACTCAGCCTTGGGGTGGGCGTCCATCAATGCACAACTACCTCAGTAACACAGGCCACGTGACCAGCACTATTGGTTCAAACATCCCGCTAATCTTCAGAATGAGTTTGACGGTGCAAACTTACACATCAAAGAACACTTATCAATTGTCCCGTAAGCTGATTTAACAATCCCACGTCCCAAATCTCCAGGGCCAATGCCGGGTGTGTTGTGCAGGTTTGGCATGTCAGAGACACGGGGGGTTAAGCATGGTACAGGCAAAAGGGTGCGGTTGCGCGTTCTATGTCATTGCTGAGAGTCCGGAAGTTGGGCACTGTGTACACTCTGGATTTTAAACTGTAGACTCAGTTTCAGTCACAGCTGGAAAGGGCTGTGGGGAGGCATTGGGGTTAGGGAAGATGGGGTTTCGCGAGGAGAATATGTGTCCTTGGAATCTATCAGCCGAAAAATTCTGGATATCTAAGGGGAGAAGCTTCAAGTGGTACTTCATCTTAGAGTTATTGTCTTTGACTGAAAATGGTCAGCGAAAAGAGACAGGCCTGCAACGTCGGTTCAGCAATCTGGAAGGGGCAGTAAACGTAATCTGGCCGCATGCTTTCTTATGCTTTATCCACTGTTGCCATGCTAGACCTCAAGCCTTATATATACCTTGAGAATCAGATCATCTTTCCTAGTCTCTGAGAAAGATCATTTAGATTTCAAACCATAGCTCTGCAAACAGGAATACCTTGTTGTCAGCTGTAGGTTCGAGAAATGCAAGACGGAGTATGCTTTGATGGCCAATGGCAACTTGGTAATCGTTGGGTAGACTATGTTTGGGGAGTTTCAATGTATGGGGTATTTGGGCCTTTGGTTCAGGGTTCCGGGTTTAGTGGGTCCGCTTTTGTTTGATGCGAGGTTGTCCCTTCGTACTTCTTGAATTTAGACAATGTTTGTGCTTCATAATTAGGAACTATCGCAAGAAGAAGATCAGGACTAAGACTCTAGCTGATTGCACATGGTGAGTCCAGTGATGGTCCCTGAACATTGGGTGACCTCTCCAACTTTACAAGGTACTTGAATCCCCATGCACAACAACTGCGGGGGGTGGACGTACTTCAGTGCCTCCCTACACCCATGAAGCATACATTTACTAGGCCTTTAAACCCAAAATCTTTGCCCTTTGAGGGTGGAGTCGACTTGAGGAGTGATCAATGCAGGGTGGCTCAAAGGTATGACATACGATGCAGATGTAGGGACGATTCTGGAACAATCTTCCCAACAAATGCTACAGGATGAGGGGAGCCCAGAAACTCTAGCCGTCGGAGTGTGCAGATCCCTGACTCGGAGCCTCATCGTCAAGCTTCTGAGCAGACTTGCAAAAACCTCAATCCCTAGATACCTAATTACAAGCCCCAGTGTTTTGCCATGCCTATAAATGCGGTGGAAGCCAGCCGCCGCTGCCATTGGCAAGCATATTTGGTGTTCCCCTAGGT